CTGGCAAGCTTATATAGTGATATATTTTACACATAGGCATATTTTCTGTGTCCAGAATTTAGGGACATCCTGTATAAACTCAAAAGTCCCGGTTTGTCTGGTTTTCATTTAGGCACTCTTAACAACTCCTGTTTTATTCTGCATAATGTAATATAGAAAAAAAATGCAACAAGGTGATTGGGACCCCTTTTATAATGAGCACAGCAGGTATTCAGAATCAGAAATTCAAGCCCAGAGATCTTGCCATCACAGTTCCCAAGAGATGAGAAGAGAAATTGCCAGATTTACTTCTCCATTATCTTCCAAAATATCAGTTTTGGGAGAAATGACCCCTTAAAACTATATTTAAAACTTACCACTCGCTCTCCAATTTGGGTTTTTTTGTTTTCATTAATAATTTTCGGAGTGTTGTTCAAGTGTATCAGAGATCAATCTGAATGTTTATGAGAGTGCACTTTCTCAGAAAAGCACCCTGTATAGCTTGGCAGGCGACTCCACTCTTTCTTGGTTCAGGTTTACATTTTCTAATGTCAGCTCTTCGCTCACTGAACCAGCAGTGGCCTTATGAGGAGTCCTTGATCACTGATAACCTGGTAGTGAAGAGGTAACACAGGATACTGCATAGCTGAACCAGGATATAGTAATTCGATGATACAAAAATGGCTGAATAGACTAGTATATTCTTTGTTATAGATATACAAGATGACTTGCCTTACAATCTATCCTCTGTATGTATATGTATGGCTACAAGACCACATACATTTTTTTCTAAGCCTTGGTAATTGCACTTGGGACTATACAACCAGATGAGATTTCTAATCCTATACTATAGACATGACTTTCGTGGGAAATGTTTTTTTGGTGCTTTTTTCTGCTTGTTTTTGAGCATTTACCTTGTGATGGATATAAATTGTCTGCTGGAGTCTATGTAGACTTTTGCAGAAAATTTGATTAAATAAATTGCCTATACCGCAAGTAAAGGATGTTAAATTGATACAATTTACTTTTGCCTTTCACTTCTTTGTTTTGTGAGTGTGCCGAATGTGCAGAAAATCCCACTTCTGTTATTTATCATACTGTCAGCCAGTAAATAGACTTCCTTTTGAAGTTTTCAGGATCCTGTTCGTTCTCTATTTTTGACAGTCTGTATTGGGATGCCATCTCAAATTAATTTTTTCATTCCTATTAACCAAATGTGTTAGAAGGTACAGGAGACTGTTCTGTGGAATTTGGAATGTTAAATCAATCGAGAAATGTCTCTTGTTATATTTAGGAATAAGATATTTTCATAATGTAACCAATTTATAGACAAATCACTTGTAACTGCTGCTTTAAAGTGTACCTGTTCCCAGAACTGAATCAACCGTTTGGTGTATTAATTCACTAGGTAATGTCAGTTACAGAACATGAGGAAGTCAAGTTATGGGTTAGAAAATAGACTAATAGGTTTAATTTTTTTTTTTATTTTATTTTTTTTTACTTTAAAGGATCTGTTACCCGTTCCTTGGTCCTTGAGAGTCCTGACATAGGAAGGTGCTGGTGACAACAGCTTTAGCTGAAAAGTTGCATTGAATCCCAGGGTGTTCAGCTAACACCTGGCTGACAAGGAAAATAAGGCTCTCTACACCATAAATCCAAAGTTAAACAATTTTTTTTTTTTTTTTTTTTTTTAACCATAATGAACTAACCGTGCCACTCTTTAGTTTGTTACTGACCATTGTACATATGGTCAACTAATTGAATCATAATTGATTCATGTGAAAATCATGTCATGACGATCCTTATTAAATTCTGTGTATACCATAAAATACCCAGTAAAACCAAAAGTGTCCCCTGAGACCTGAAAACTATTTAAATATAAATGGTATATAGTGTATAAACCTTAGCACTCACATTTTAACAAAATTAAACTGTTACGTCACATATTCTTTTTTACACAGCCTACCTTAAAGAAGAGCTTTAGGAATGCTTGGCAGCCAATCTGCTTCTATCATCCGCTTGTTCAATTAAGCTTTGAAAAAAAAAAAAAAAGAAAAAGAAAAAAGTGTTGCCATGCACAGCTGCTCCAGATTCTAGCTGCTCTGATTTTTGATAAATCCCTTCTGCTGTGTTTTACATTTCATATTCTTGTCTATTGCACTGTATGTGGGAGTATGAATTGTAAAACACATTCGGGGGAATTTATCAAAACTGGCAGACACACCCTTCCTCAGTACAGAACCATCAGTACAGACAACCCTTTTCCCAGTACAGATCTCCACTAGCCCTAAAATCACTCACCATGCAAGAAGACCAAATGCAGTGGCCGTTTTAGAGTGGAGGGAATATTTCCCCTTTTGCTCTGTCATATGACCAGAGTAGGGAAGAAAGATTCCCCACACCCTGGACTGCCATTCTCATGGAAGCAGTAGGTGCAGTTTCTCTGGCGGTGCTGTGGCTGTCTGACTTTGTGTTGCATGGTGTGGCGCAACATCCCAGAGAGTCAACACCCGATGCGGACTGAACCCCCTTTAGTACGCCACTGAGCAGAGGTAGTCTTCAGTGGCTCTTCTGTCTGTCTTTTACGTGTATTTTTTTCTTGAATGTTTAAAAAAAAAAAGAGAGGTGCACACACTGATACATCCATATGGAATCTTAAACGATTGCCTAAATATGATGATCTTATTAACTCTACATTGCACTTTATCATTCTACAGCTATAAGATAATGTAGAAATTTGAAGTACAGTATACATTTTTAAGAATCCTGATTCTTATTAGGTAAAAGGGGTTATACAGAAAGTTGATATTGCACTTTGGATGGTACACTAGTTTGTCATTTTACTTATTCTTTATTTTGTTCTCATATAAACAAAGTAACGTGTAAAAATAATTTTGGATGCTTCTCTAATTGTGGTATTTATCATGAAACTGAAGGTTCCTTCTTTGATTCCTTTCAGGGTTTGAAATATATAAACTTCAGATGCCTGAAATAGTGCTTTTGCTGTCTAGTTTTTGCAAGACAAGTGCCCTTTACATAACCACTTTATTGAAATGTACAGTATAGGTACCCTTATGCATTACAGTCAGATGAAGTAGCTTGATGTACATGGAAATTCCATGATGGTCATGTTTCCGACATTCCATTATGGCTTTGTACATTGCCTGGAAGACTGATGTGAGCGGTTGGATAGTTTTCCCCATTGAAACTTTCCACGAAACAATGCTTTTGATGGGTTTACTTGTAGGTTGCATGAATGTGTAAAATTTGAATGTGCTTAGTGGGGTTTATTCAAGAGATGTAACTGTATTACTGTATTTTCTGTGTTTAGACTTTGAAGAACAGGTATCCATGTATATGAATGGATAAAAAAAAATCTATAATAATGGACTAGGTTTTGCTGAAGATCTATATAGTGTTTAGTCATTACTTTCCAGTAATTGTAACCAGAAAATGGAAACGGTCTCTCTAGTAAACTTTTTATTCAATGATCAGGCTTTGTGTTGCATAGTGGAACAGTGCAATCAGGTTTGGCAAGTTGCTCCCATGCTTGTGATGAACACCGACACCCAGAGATATTCATACTTTTCCCTTTTTGTATTGAGTCATTGCACTGGGCTGTTTCATGTAGTTATAAAATTTGTTTCTCTAGTCATGAAGTCTTTTAAGGGGTGTGAAGGCCACATACCTATGATGTCAAGGGAGAGGCTTTGCTCACGTTACTACTTAGTATCTCTTCGAACATTGCGGACAGGTGACATACAAACACAACCCTAAGGGCAGTTCTGTCTGCGAAAATACCAAGGGGTGTGTACGGTGAGTGGATGTAGGAACAATCAACACACGTACATGTATTCTATGAATGGTGTTGAACCTGCAGAAGTAGTTTATAGGGATGATCAGACAATGAACTTGCATGACTCTAACAAAATCTCAAGTGCATCTATAAGTCACGATTATATTGGGTCATAAGAACACTAAAGGAATAAATAGTATACAATATAAACTTGCATTCAGAACTTTAAGTTTATGACACGTGTATATGTATGTCATAGATGATAACAGATCATAGCGACCCTGCTCTGCACATTCTTCATTACTCTCTATTTTTTGGCACTGTGCCAAATTTGTATTTGTAGTGGCCGAACTGCTGACAGCCTAAAGATTTACTTTTGTTCAGTGGCTTTGGGCTTCAGCTAAATGACAGCAAGAAGAAACGGGAACAATACTGGAGGCAATTTATAGTTCACACTTTATTTTGATAGCATAATTATTAATGTGGAATGTGTTTTTTTGCTCAAGAACATTTATTTTTTTTATCAAGTTGTTATGAGTAAAGTTCCACTTTAATGCAAATAATCTTACAAACGTATGTCACTCTTTCTTCTGTCACTTTTCTTTAGTTTGTGTGTATGTCCATTTCATCCCATCCTAATACTCCGCTTGAAAAAAATGCTCCTGCAGATGTTCATGTGAATAACCATATTCCACACCCAGCTACACACCCAAAGTGGAATAAGTTTCTTTCCTCTAGTTTCTGAAAAGCACGAGGAAGGGTTCAAATATCTGTCAGATTGTACAGGTGGCCATTGCCTCCAGAAAAAAAAAGGATGGCTAAAATATAAAAGCTGTCACCTGATAAGTAACAGTTAAATTTCCCATTGGGGAAATTACACCTGTATCAGTAACAATTCTAGTGTTAGGATTTATTTTCATTTTGGGCATAATTTCTGCTATTTCCTTATGTGGTAAGAACTGGAAGGAATTTCCACAGCAGGGACACAGGGATAGAAAAAAACCTGTGGAGTTCTGACTTTTCCCTAGTTTAGACAAAACTAGGAAAAAGAAGCTTTGACTGGAGTTCTTTAAAGCCCCACATCTCTTCAGTAGCACATAATTAGCCTTTATATGTTCCACTTCTTCATACTTTGTGGCCTAAGATTTTTTCATATGATAAGAATAAGGAATCAGAGTGAACAATCTTATCTGTAACCACCTTTTTTCTGTGTATCTAACAACAGATTCAGCCATATGAGAAGATGAAAGCCAGAGGCCTCCCAGAAAACATTTCTACAGTCCTCAACAAGCTCGTTGTTGTCAAACTTAATGGAGGTTTGGGGACCAGCATGGGATGTAAAGGCCCAAAAAGCTTGATAGGGGTCCGGAATGAGAATACCTTTCTAGATCTGACAGTGAAACAAATAGAGGTGAGTACTGCTCAGGCACAATGTTAACCTTATACTGAACATTCCATACAATGACCTTGAATGGATGGTCTGCATGGCTTAAAATGATGGTATATTTCTATGAGGTGCTTTAATGCCATTGTTAAAGAAGAATATCTAGCACAGACAATGTTGTAGAGGCACTCCACATCCTTTAAAGTGAATTGACCAAGATGTCTCCTGCTAATCTGCCCTACTCCTGTCTATAATGTGATTACTGCAGACCACAGAGGAATCCTTGCACTTCCAGTTGACCTTTCCATTCATTCCAATGGTGAAAACAGTTGGTAGGTAACTTAAAGCAGGACCTATCAGTAACTTTATTGTGACGTGACAGGAATTTATTCATACAGACTTAAACAGCACAGACACAATAAAAAGCATACCTTTTTTTTTTATTAAAAGCAGTCAAGTGTTAGAGAGGACCATTGATGTAGAATGCTTATTTTGCTGGCAGGTAGCAGTTCCCCTGTCTTCCCTACCCACTGATCACTTTCTGGGACTGTTGTAACATTGTAAGCTTTTTGAAGCTAGGAGGAAACAGCAGGGGTCTGAGCTATGTCAAGCATGTGTAGTCTTGGCCAAGTAGGTAAAAGCACCTGTGGAGCTAGCAGGGTTTAGATTCTATAGACCTGCTTCTTAGTACATGAAGTTGGTGCTGCCTGTGGATAATGCCTGAAGGTGAAGCTGGTCTTCTGGAGAGACATTTTTTTGTTAGTCAGCACTTGGCTATACCAGCCCTGCCCACCGCTTTCTGGACTGACAGTACTGCTTCTGTTGGTGAACCCCCACCCCCTGTAAGCTGCCGTGTGTAGAAGGGGGAGTGCATAACACACAAATGGAGGATTGTTTACGCTTGCCTGTTCTTTAGTAGGTGTACACTTAATATTATAAAATCTCTGAGGCTATTTCACTTTAATGAGGTACTTATTACAGAACATAGGTAGAATGGAGAAGAAAGTCCCAAAGATGCTGAAACGCATAATTTAGAAAAAGCACCATACACACCCAACAATTCTCATGTAGTAATTTTTCTTTGAATTGCATATAATATGCAAAATGTTTTAGAAACCAAAGACTTTTTGTTTTATTAAAGCCAGGCAGTCTGACAAAAATTCTTATTGGTAGCTAATTTTTTATGTAGCTTTCACATATACTGTAATCCTTTAATTATTTAGATTCTGTTTAAGAAATGTTTTAGGGGACCTTAAAAAGAGGTTTGTTCTAGTGATTCTTTTCTTTTTTTTTTTTTCTTTTATGGGATGTTGTTGAGAAGGGGGGAGAGACAATTTGATGTCCTAAATTAGTAGTAGGATTACAGCACAATAATTCATTAGGAATTGCTAAAGTTCCTGAGACCTTGTGTTTTGGAAGCGCTCTTTTCTTGCCAGTGCCCTGTATAAAATTTACGATGTTTGTGTTAAATTAAATATCTGTCTGTTTCTTTGCCTGAGGAAAACCTCCAAATACACCAGATGGCCATGACCATGAAATAAAACTGCACCAACTTGCTGCCAGAAAAAAAAATGTTGGCAATAAATATTTTAGTGAGGTAGTGGGAGCCATTTAGCTTAAAATTAGACCTTTCTTGTTATATTGCTGTGAAAGGACCTCTTTTAGAAAGGAGTTATATAGATTTAAAATACCTTCAACACTGTTTTTCTTGACTGTTCAGCGACTTTTCAAAAATACCTTGTGATCCTGCCCCTGCGGATTCTTGTACAGACACTTCCTGTTATAGGGTGACAAGGACCTTTCCCTGTCTGCCTATTGTGACATAAATATACAGATTTGACTAGCTGAGATGTGACCTGTAGCAATATGTAATCGTAAATTTAGTTCATTCCTTGTCATTAAAGAAATATTCAGGCATAGGTATTCAGAGACAGATGGTCACCAATTAGCATCTGAAGGGACCTACCTTCCTCTGGAAGTGACACCTAGGTGCCAATAAGATATGTCTATAATCAGACTTTGCCACCTTCCTAAAGTTTAAAAGAGGAACACAGACGTTTCGGCTTCATGACACCAGGGGGGCTCCAATGTGTCTGGGGAGCCCTGACAAATGTACGCAGATCAAAGGAGTAGATTTCATCTCTCATAAAAGCTAAAATATTAGTTGCAGAGAGCTGAAGATACTTCCTTCTGATTGGACACTCTGTAGGCTACATCGGCATGTAAAAACGGTATTTGTGGCCTATGTAGAATGCCAAAAAAAAATGTAGGAAATGGTTATGTGACGCTGGATCGTGATAGCCGAACAGTGATTTGGTACTGTCTCGATCGGACTGATGCGCTGGTGTCGGAAATTCAATCCCTGACTTGGTGATTCAAGCCGTTCCTGGTCCAATTGACTCTGGGCATTTCAGCACTCAGAACATCCTGTGGGCGGGTACAGGAACACCCCCCAGAGTCAATTGCCAAAGAACTAATGTCCCACCTACGTCCATATTCCCATAAATTGAGGACTCTGAAGTATGGAGCTGGTTCGATCGACTAACGGATTATGGACTTTTTCTGACTTGCTCCAGTCGCAGGGTAAATCTTGGTATCTGTTTTTTATTCCCTTTTATTTTATAGTGAATAGTCTGTGTGCCTTCTTGTATTTTTTTGTATTTTCTGTAACTTTTTATACTTTGTACATATTTTATGCACTGCCCACTTTCAGGATATTAAATCTTAACATTAATAAGTGACTTCTGGGTATATAAGCACGGGCTCATATCTCCGGAGAGATTAGATTGTAATGTATGTTAGTGTCTTCATATGCTCGGTCAAGCTCATTGCCAGTCTGTATGCAATTGCACTGCGTGTTGGCAGATTGCATACAGATTGTAAAGGTAACAGATCTGCCAGATGGAGATCTGTGTGTGTGTGGTGTCCCAACAGACCATTCTGCAGATAAACTGTTGGGTGGGGCAAGCTACCATTTGTGGTGTCTGGTGTGGGGGTGTGTGAACAGTGGAAGAGTGATTGACACCGGGGTTCTAGCTGTAGGATAGCTGGGTGAACCCTAGAAGGGTGGGCGATTTGCTAAGCTGCTCCTCAACCCTTAGTGTGCACCAGATTGTATATAAGATTTGTATCTGCCCGAGTGTTGTCGGCCAGCTGGATTGGAGTGGAGTCTCCCTCCGGTGGTGGCCAAGAGGTAGTGCGGGCTCACAGTATATCACGGCCAGTCTTGTATACGGTTTTCTATATTCAAAGTTAAATCCCCCTTATTCCCTCTTACCCCAAGTCACGGCCGCACGTGCGCGACTCGGTCAGCTAGTCGCTGTGGGCGTGGCGTGTGGGGTGAACCAGTGACACCTATTCTGCTGCATAGCCACCTTTAAAATATATAATAAAAGTGGCTGTGCCAACACATGTACGAGCTTGTTCATGGTTGTCACAATTAAGAAACCCACCCTGAGAATGTTGTGTGGTATTTTCTGGAGTACATGTAGACAGGAAGTTGCTGAAAAAGTGGATGCAGGATATAAGAAACTCTGAGATCCAACATAAGATGGTAAAAAAAAAAGGTGAAGGAAGCATTTAATTATTAAAAACTGATTTACCAAATGAAATACAATTCAGTTAGCGTTTTCCTTTTTGTTTTAAAGTGGTTGTAAAGGTTGAAGGTTTTTTACCTACATGCATTCTATGCAGAAAGGTAAAAAGCATTTAAAGTGCTGCTCCCCTCCAGTCTCCCACCTCCCCCACAGGAGCCTCGCCTCTCCCGGGTCTCTTCCTCCTCATTGACTGAGACACCGCAGCCATGGGCTCCCGCTGCTGTCAATCACAGCCAGTGAGGAGGGGGCAGGGCTGAACCATGCTCTGCAGAGAGCAGACTTGGGAGCGAGCACTCCTCGGTGCCCTCATAGCAAGTGGCTTGCTATTGGGGGCACTTCTTGGGGGGATGGGGGCTGTGAAGCCAAAAGCACCAGCTGTGGACCCGAGAAGAGGAGGACCGGGACTGCTCTGTGCAAAACCATTCCACAGAGCAGGTAAGTATAACTTGTTTATTATTTTAAAAAATAAAAATTGAGCCTTTAGTACATAGAGCATGATATATAATACAGATGGATGTTTTATATAATTGCTAGAAACAAGTGACACATCATCAATCTGCTCTTCACTGAAGAGACAAAAAACCACTGCTTCACAACATATCTTTGCTAATTAGGGTGCTTTATTTCACCATCTATTGTTATAATAAAATGGCCTACAATCATACACATTTCACAGTACAAACCATTTTTGCAGGATCTCTGTGACTCAGCTCTTTCTGGCATAAAATGTCTGTCCTATCCTTTTTTTAAACTATGAAATGAAATAAATTGCCTTTTAAAGGGGCTCTGTCACAAAGCTAAACACTTGTGTAGTTTGGTTTTCTTGAAAGCAGTTGTTCCCTGATGGAGTCACATGATGGTTCCAAAGTCATCAACTTCTTTGAATGTCTTGCTTGGTGACAGATTCCATTTTGATTTTTCCAAAGTGTAGTGGCTTGTTTTTCTACATTCAGTTCATTGGCTTACTTCTGCGATCACACTAATGCCTGGAATTTTCTGTGGGGAGGATTCGTTACCTTCTTGATGGGTCCTGTTGGCTTTAATCTGAGGAAGTCAAGTGTTAATATACAGCTACAGTACAATGAAAGTCACTGACATTGGAGTTTCTTAAATAACTTGGGCTGCATTACTGTTTGCCAGAAGCTAGGTTTTGTTGCTTATGTTTTATAGTTGATATGCGCTAAATAACTACTTTAAAAACCTGATACTTACTTTTTTATTTTCTTGTCTATACAAGCACTTGAACATAACCTATGACACAGATGTCCCTCTTGTTCTTATGAATTCATTCAACACTGATGAAGACACCAAGAAAATCCTGCAGAAGTACAGCCACTGTCGAGTGAAGATTTACACGTTTAATCAAAGCAGGTAGTGTGTGTGTCTGAGATTATGCCATGAGTGTGACAAATGGTTGGATTATCTGGCCAAGCAATATATTTTGTTTAGGAAAAATAATCCCCCCCTTTGCAATGTCTTTGGAAGTTTCAGCACAGTGCAAAGTGGAATTTACAGGCAATATTTTAGCAATAACAGTAATCATGGAGAAGACTTGAAAAAGAACCATTACTGGGCGTGGTCTAAAAATGTATATCCTGCAAGAGCTTAGAGCTCTCAATTAGTATCCAGCCTTCAGGAGAAATAATTATTTTACAGTTAAAAACAAAAAATACCCATACCTGATATTGGTGCTGGGCAGAGATGGTCTAAGGCAAAATGGGGCTTTAGGCAAGGTAGTAACCTCCACCCATTGCTATCCCTTGATTTAAAATTGATGAGGATTGTCACCCCATCTGTTATGTCTGTACTGGCATGGTTCACCCCTTCAGACACCAACTGCCTACAAGGGCATTCTCCTATGTGATGACAGGCAGGTGCACAACTTTGACCAACTGTGCTATCCCCTGGTTTACAGCAGGAGCATGAAGGTTGTAGATGGGTCCCATGGACATCCACTAGTGCCACAAGCTCTTTCCTAGTTTGCCTTGTCGATGATCTGGCCCTGGTACTGTAACAAGAAAAAAAGTCAGTTTAAAAGGATTCTCAATTTCCAAACTGTTCTCTAGACCAAAAGACACAGAGAGCTCCTCTCCTTTTTATAGTGATACTTTTTGACATTACAGACCCAACCATTTTCATCAGGAGCAATTAAGGTGACAAAAGATTCTTTTACACCACTGAGATCTAGGATACATTGTATATAGGGGACTGATCCTGGCTTCACTTCCTAATAAGTCACTGACATGGAGGATGCATGCAGGATGGAATTTCAGATGGAACATCACCCTCTAATTTCTCATATCTCTGGAGGACTGCAGCAATTTGATCTCTTCACAGTAGAATTTGAGCTTCACTCCATGTAGTTTTACGCCTGCTAAATTCTCCTTAATTCTAAGGTAGAATTTCAAAAAGATAAGAGCCTTCCTTTTGCATGTCAGGTGAGCAAAACTGGGAATGTATAGGTGCAGAGGTCTTCTTTCTTATCTCCCCATAAGATATTAGAAATGTGAGTGATCAAGCCCCGGCATATACCCAAAACAATTTGGTGGACTTGAGTCCATCTGTCCACTTGATAAAGAATGATTTGGTGGAATAATTGTGTTTTTTTTTTTTTTTTTTTTTTTTTTTTTTTTTTTTTTTTTTTTTACAATATGTTACTACCAAAAATATATATCAAGCTGGTTTGTAAATGTGTAAAATGTGTGTACACCTTTTTTTTCTCATTTGTACTATATGTAAGATCTCAGCTGACTGGATTTACAGAAAATGGCTTTCTGTACCATTCGTAATAGTGGTTCTGAAACCTGTTTCCTTTCTATTTAACAGACAACCGCACCACTTAAATGCCTCAGTATGTACCTCTAGCCTGCTCAATCCCTGTTGCCGGATGCTGGTTTGGCTTGATACAGGCTTATCTGGCTTGATACACCACTACAACAAAATGGTGCCTCCCCGTACACTGTTAATGTCCTGAACGTGTCAAAATGGCTTCAGCCTATTCTCCATCCGTGGGAGAACACCAAACTAATGCCTTTCACCTGTTTTAAGGCTTAATCATATAGGCGCACATAGCTCGGTGTTTGGGTTAAAAGCTTCATGGGCCATAGAGAAAATATAGTGCAGACGGGTCTGTTACCCAAAGTGATAATGTGTTCCACAGCGCCACCTACCTCGTGGCTCTATGCAACACAAGAGACTAACAAACTGACTTGTGTATGAGAAGATATCACTCTAGGACATGCCTGGCAAACCCTCAAAAAAACGATTGTATTAAAGGACACATCCTTAAGGCTGCCTACGAATGCACATCTCAAAATCTATACATTGTACATCTATTCTAAATAGTGCTTGTTTTGAAAAATGATTTGGTCAATACAGACCACACCAGTAGAGTATTAAGTGCAAGTCACAGGCAAAACAAATCAATAATACAATGTAATATATTAAAAAACAAAAAAGCTAGACCCTAACCCTGATCTAAAAAGTTATTTTATTCCTAACATGATTTAAAACCAATTGATGGGAGATATATCCCACTAAATAAAAATAGTAAATTAAAAATATACATACACAATTGTTGAGCACTAGGAGTAAGCTAATGTAAAATCGGCAGAGAGCATAATGTGTTATAATAGCTGAACTTCATGCAAAACATCTACACCTGACTGTAGCTATTAAATTTGTTTATTACAGCTAAAATATCTAATTCAGATTACCTAGGGATAAAAGAAAAAGGAAGAGATGGGGAGAAGAAAAAAAAGGAAAAATCTGGTGAAAGGCATTGGAGGGGTGTTCTCCCATGCGTGGGGAATAGGCTGAATCCATTTTGTCACGGTCGGATCGCGGTGTGCATAAAAACTTAAGTGGAGGTGCCATTTTGTTGCAGCTCAGACACTCGCAAATTAAAGACCCATTTTGACAGCTCAGACACTTGTTGTCTTAAGTAACTATAACCTTTCCACTGATCATGTGTGATGATGGTGTTATACTAAGGAACAGTGAATGTGATGGACTGTTCAAATGTGCATTGGAAAAAGATTCTGGTGCGTTGAGTAACTGGATATTAGTTTACATAAAAGTTTGAAATGGAGTCACCAAGTACAACGATTACCAAATGTATCTCTTTCCCTTGCAATGGAGAGAAGATAATTTATAGTTCAGTGTCTATTACAATAAAAGTATTAATTCTGTTCCCACCCCTGTATGTGGAGGCTGAACATGGGATATTTTAATATATCAAAGAATATGAACTCTTATTTCGTATTTAGGCAGCTCAATTTTTACATGACTAATGTCTTCAAAATGGTGTAGTGTGTGCCACTACAGGAAAAGTTCTGCATTCTACATCTTAGTAGTGCCCAAGGAAGAAGTGACCAGTATACTTCGGTGTCTGATAAACTTCCTACAATTGGAAATGCATGCCATGATGGAACTATGTTCCAGGTGCATCAAAACAAAAGGTGTATATGGTTTTTGCTGTTGCTTTTGTTGAGAGAGCATCCAGAGCACCAGGTACATCATGCTTCTTCCAACAAGATCCCTGGGGATGCTGGTTAGCCTGAGATTTGGGCTACTCTGTATTTTCCAAGATAAGGCCACAAGGATGATGACATTACCTTTGCCTAGATCTTCCAGGACATAACTGGGGGAAAGAAAGTATATTATCAATCCCCCTTCCCTCCCACAGGGTCTGGTTGCAGCCAGCAACAGTACCCCCAGCAACAATAGTTCCCCCAACGAAAGACCCCTTGCAACAATAGATCCCCCTTAGCAGCAATGGACCCCCCCAAATAAAGTACCACATCTGCAACAATAGATCCACTCCAGTAACAATAGTCCCCCAGCAGCCAGCATCAATAGACCTCTCTCTCAACAGAAAATCCCTCCAAGCAACAATTGACACCCCAGCAACAAAAGATCCCCTCCAGCGACAATAAATCCCCCAGCAGCCAGCAACAATAGGACCCACCAGCATGCCACAGCATACCTTGCCAGTACATACATTCGGTGCTGGAGGTGCCAGAACTGCGTTCCTGCTGAGAAACAGCTCTGGGTGTATAAGATTTTGGATGTTTGCACAGTGGAGGAATGAAAGCACATACCTCCAGTGCTGATTTTCATCTGAGGGGAAAGCACAGCAGTTGGCAGTTGGAAAGACAGCTGTTCCTCCAAGAAAGATCAGCTGGAGGGGTACTCTTAACTCATCAAAGCCTAAAGGCCTGTCGTATCACTGGCATTTAGTCTATCTTGACTAAAAATCATGCATGTTGTCTCTCTGTATACAATAGCTATCATATATGGAATACAAATATTTATATGACTTGCTCTACCTCATAATTGGGCCTAGCCACTTTCACATTTAGATTGTTCATGTTTTTTTCTTCTTGGGTAGGAAATACGCAGTTATTTTTTTTTCTTCTTAGGTAGGAAATACGCAGTTATTTAACACAACCCCATATATTGTGTGTCCTCTCTTAGGTACCCAAGAATAAACAAGGAGTCCTTATTACCGATAGCTAAGGACCTGTCTTACTCAGTGGAGAATGCGGAAGCCTGGTACCCTCCTGGTCACGGTGACATCTATGCTAGTTTTTTATAACTCAGGCCTCTTAGACACACTCATAGGGGAGGGGAAAGAATATATTTTTGTCTCAAATATTGATAATCTTGGTGCCACTGTGGATCTTTATATTCTCAACCACCTCATGAACCCACCAAATGGAAAACGCTGTGAATTTGTCATGGAAGTTACAGACAAGACAAGAGCTGATGTGAAGGTGAGTACCCACAATGGATTAATGATCACAAAACAACTCTGTTATTCAACGGATATTATCGAACAAATGACTGCAAGTTGTGTTTTCTTTATAAATGTGACAGGAAAACCCATGAAATACACACATAACCTTTTCTTATGTAAAAGTTTCCATTCCGCATCAGTATGTTCAGTTGAAAAATGTTTTCTGCCATTCTCTGTGTATCCTTGTTATATTTTATATAATGGACGTGGCTAATGCAATGTTTAATACCTGCATATTGTTAGATTTAGAGACCTGTGTCAATTTAAAGAGAGAAATTTATAGAGGTTTTTTGCAATTGCTTTTACTTATTTACTTATTTTTCTGTCGGTTTATGGTATAGAGACAGTTCTTTTTGTTTAAATACTCCAGTGCAATGTCTCTTGTCTGAATAATAAGCAGGTTATAAAACTAGGAAATGTCTGAATAGTTTTTATGGATTACGCCCTGCAGTTAAAGGATACGTTCACCTTTTTAAAAAAAAAAAAAAAAATAAATGCACATCTTTTTGCAGGTAAAAAATTAGCATTTAATTAGGAGCCTGTAAAGCATTGCACGTACAATCAGCAGATTGAAGGTGCAGTGCCAGGCTCCTGCATACTGTCAGTGTTAGCTGTCTGTCCATACCTCGTGTGGGTAGGCAGTTACTGAATGACAAGAAAAATCAATGAGCTGCTTAGACACTCAAGCCATTAGCCGCACTTGTTGACGGTAGATGTAGTTCTCCCATTCACAGAACTCTGTGAATGAATGATGCGGCCGGGTGGGAGCTGTTGTTGTTTTTTTTTTGTTGTTTTTTTTTTTTTTTTTTTTTTTCAACCATCCTAAAGCAGATAAAACTAATTTGTGTGTATGTATGTCTGGATGTACGTGAAAAAAATACTTTGAAAGCCCAAAGCAAAAAAATAATAAAACTGTACACAGTAGCTTACTCCTCCATTAGGTGCGTGCGTGCGTTTATTCCCATGCATTTCTAGGCTTGCTTTCTACTATTTGTACCTGTTAATCCTGCCAGTAAGAGCCATCCCCACAATGTCCGTCCTTGGGTGACAGCCCCACAGCGTCCGTCCTTGGGTGAGAGCCCCACAGCGTCCGTCCTTGGGTGAGAGCCCCACAGCGTCCGTCCTTGGGTGAGAGCCCCACAGCGTCCGTCCTTGGGTGAGAGCCCCACAGCGTCCGTCCTTGGGTGAGAGCCCCACAGCGTCCGTCCTTGGGTGAGAGCCCCACAGCGTCCGTCCTTGGGTGAGAGCCCCACAGCGTCCGTCCTTGGGTGAGAGCCCCACAGCGTCCGTCCTTGGGTGAGAGCCCCACAGCGTCCGTCCTTGGGTGAGAGCCCCACAGCGTCCGTCCTTGGGTGAGAGCCCCACACGTCCGTCCTTGGGTGAGAGCCCCACAGCGTCCGTCCTTGGGTGAGAGCCCCACAGCATCCGTCCTTGGGTGAGAGCCCCACAGCGTCCGTCCTTGGGTGACAGCTCAGGAAATTGTTGCGTACTGTCTAGATGTGTGTTGGCATGTTCAGCCTGAGCCTTTTCGGTGAAATCCGCTTACTCCACAGAGCGCACCCCACTGTCCATCACAAGATGCTTTTGCACAGAGTGCCATGCCCACCTTTTTAATGAAAATAAATTGTTTCAAAAATATATTTTTTAAAAAAACCTAATGATCCGTATTCTTTTTTATAGTGTAAGTAATAATGTGATGGTTTAATTGTACTTTAAACATTTTCTAATGTGTTTGTTAAAAGTACCAGAAACTGCCCTTTAATGTCCTACACATCAACATTCAAACCTAAACGAGTGCAAACACTAGGAGCCAACAAGGCTGAACATGCTGACCAGAGATCAGAAGGTGCACAGCTGATGACACTGACGAAAGCATAACATTTACAAATGTGTTTTAAATTACAGTTTTAATTTAGTATCTAAGTAGGGTAGAGTTATTAATCAGTTTTTTCTTTAAATTCAGTATGGAAGCTTATTTACTTTTGCTTAGATCTGCTGATCTTAGTGCATAGCTGTTCTTCTAGCCATACACGCTGGTCTTTTCACTACTAATATCAGTCCAAATAACTGTCATTCTTTCAAATGTCTGTAAATGTGCTACAGTTACTGTTTGGCTTCTGGTTTCTGGAAAAACTGAAATACTTAATAAAAAAACAACACATTTAGTATGCCAGCTGTGCTGCTCGGTTATATCTACATCAAGAGGGATTTCCATGACAAATTTGTCATAACTCTCAAGAGATTCTAATATCTGTCAGCTCCCAGTAAACGGGTAGCCTTCTGCAGCAGTGAGAGACTGTCGACAACAATGCCAGCTGCCTTGAAATTGCATGGAGAAAATGTGATCATATAATGAAATAGGAAGTCATGTGAGCCCCTCTGGTATTTTGCAGCTGTTGACTCTGACTTGTGTGACCTTACCTCAGCTCTAAGACAGGCCATAGAAGATTTGATTTTCTTTCCTGCAACACATGAATATCACCCGATTTCCCCCATCGACACAGGCAGTGTTGGTAGGGGAATCCCTTCAAAATGCTATTGTACTCTGACAATGGGGAGAGCCTTCCCAGCTGGCAAAACACGATAGCTGTCGGCAGTAGTGACAGGTAAAAATAAAAATGGATCAACTTTGTTACAACCAGCCTGTCCATAGATGGATTGAATCTCAGTCCATCCCTGCTAAACCATCCAAGATTCGATCCATCTATAGCTAGCTTAACTCTACAGAGGTCCACAACCTTTGTCAGCTGTTTGATACAATCCGATGCAACAGGTGGCATTCAACCACTCTGTGAGGGGAAGAAAAGCCCAACTCCATGAAAAAAAAAAAGGCTACTCCAGCTAGCCCCCCTATCCCACACACAGGTTCTATACCTTCAACATTGTTTCTGTATCCTGTGGTAAGGATCATGTGACAGCTAAGTAACCGTTATTTATGGCATCCAGTGAGTAGGGTCAGTGTCAGAAGGAAGCAACGTAGACATTGCAGGCTGGACCCTTCAACAGTAACTGAGGTTCTTTAGTTAGATTTTTTTTTTTTTTTTATTAACTAGTTCTTGGGTGGTGGATTAGTTAATGAAACTTTTTTTTTTTTTTTCCCCAGTCATGTGTAATCATAAAAAATAGGCTGTTGTGCTTGACTTTATGGAAATCAGAAGTGAGCATTGCAGCTGCTTGAATAATATTGAATAAATGCTTGCTTTTGGCACTCCCCTCAAAAAACAAAAATATGCATGTTTGTGCCAAAAACTTTCCTTTAGGTAACTGAAGGTAGCCAGAAATCTTACATGTCTATTGCCTGAACCTGACAATCCAGGTATATGGACAATTCAGAGTAAACAAGCTGAGCTATAAAACAGAACCCCTCAATGACCACCCACTAGTCTGCAACCATGATCTGCCACCCCCTATCGCCACAGATATACAAGGAAATAACACAGACTGGGTGTTCTTCATCCATGATTCCTGACTTTCATGGTATGGTGGTGATGGTCTCCTTCTCCCCCACAAATTCTGTTTTAATAGTTACATTCTAATCTCTCTACAGAAAGGTCCAATGAGTTACATTTAATCTCTCTATCAGTGTCTACTGAGGAGAGCAGTACAAGATCTGCCTGGGATAAAAATAACACTCTGTTGAAAATATGACTTTTAAGTGTTAAGCTAGTATACGCAGGCGGAAAATGGTCAGTTCCGCAGGAATGGACGACTTTCGGCCCATGTGTACAGCTGTCTATTTCTTACGACTAGCTTCTGTCGAACGGGTATGCTGGAAAAACAGTGTCCGATCAGCATCCTATCAGCACTGGCAACCAATGCCTGCCAACACTGACCAGTGTGTTCTGGCAGAGCGGGGGGATCCAGTCCCCTGTCAGAATATATAGGCATAGCAGAAGAAATGGCTGCACTAACATTTTTTGTGTTAGTATGGCGATCTCTCGCCGCTGGGTTGAACGGGGGAAAAAAACAAAACAAAAAACCTTATAGCGAGTACCCGATTTTAGATTAGTGGACGGATTAGAAAGTTTATAGCAGGTATAAATACAATATGATGAAATAACAGATTTAAAAACCATCAACAGATACACACAGACTCCAGCAATATGGAGTTTCAGAAGCACACAGGTTGATAAGACCTACAATAATGTTTGACCACCAGTAAATCATTTGTAAAGCATCAGACAAAAGAATGCGGCAGATAACTAGACATTGGAGAATTCTGGGAAATCCGGCTCTCGGGAGGACTATTGTTTTACTCTGGCAGATGTGACAGATATCTTCAGAATTAACATTTTCCAGTGAAATACTAATATGATGGACTTTCTCATCACAATTCTGCTCACATTTCCATATATTTACTGAGCTAGATTTGTTATGCTGGTTATACACTGTAATCATTGCAATGTGACAGATTCTAGCAACAGGCTGAAAAAGGTAGACATCTACTATAACACAAGACATGTTCTCATGTTTATGATGGCTGGACTGTATAAAGGTTACAGAAAACCTGTCAGGAATGGGTTATTTATAAAAATAAGAATCTCCCCTCTTGCAAAAGTAAACCTGCTTTAGTTTCCAATAAGGGAAAGCAACAGGATTTCTCTAATGCCCCCACCCCAGCAGCACAGACTCACTGTTCCATCACTCCCCAACCACTGGATTCATCTACACAGAATATGAAAAGGGAGCCTAGTGTAGGCTTAGAATCACTTTTGGTTGTAGGTAACACAGCTCTGAGGATGATCTCCTTGCCCAAAGTGACAGTGGTGGGCTAAACACTAGGACAATCACATGTGAGAAGGGGGGGGGGGGTCATATACACCTCTATAACTAAAGTACTGGTGTTTAGTTGCCCTTCATGGCTTTAAAGTAGCACAAAATTATCTCTTGGGGCTAAGTCTGTGCATTATTTACTTGTGTTCTCTCTGTGACCGAATAGTACTATCCACCCAATGTCAAGGTTCCTATAGAGGTGGA